GTGATAGGCCGTTGTCTAGCGATAGGCCGGTGTCGCATTCCCCCTACCTGCTTGTGAGCGACTTGTGGACGGACGGGTCGTGGGATAGGGGGAAGCTTGATAGAGAGTTGAGCTCTGGGGCGGGCTTTAGTGAGCAGTTATTAGATCAGATCCAGCAGATCCCTATCTCGGGGGACGGTTCGGATGGCATGAGGTGGAGACTTACATCATCAGGTGTGTTTTCTACTACCTCGGCTTGGGAGCAGATCAGGCTGAGAGATCGGCCTAATCTTCTCTTCGGAGCCATCTGGAGCGATCTCTTCACCCCTACTATTTCGGTTTTCCTTTGGCGCCTCCTCCTACGCCGGATACCCGTGGATACTGTTTTACATGCGAGGGGGTTCTCCTTCCCCTCCCGGTGTGTGTGTTGTTCTGAGACCGGACATGAGACCGAGACCTTTACCCACCTTTTCTAGAGAGTGCGATTGTGAGGAGAGTGTGGGAGCACTTTGCCACTTGGACTCATATATCCCTACCCACCACAGACAGTTTCTTTGAGCTCCTGAGTTTTTTCTTACAGAGCACACACTTTAGACACGTGGGCTTCCTCATTCCTTGTCTGATCCTTTGGTTCACCTGGACGGAAAGGAATAGTGCGAAGCATAGGGATATTATTTTTTTGCCCTCTCACATTGTTTTGCAGGTACAGAGACATCTTTCACTCCTCACATCATTGGGCAGGCTTACTGCCAGAGACTGGACAGGCTGCACGCCACCACACCGCTACTTGGTAGCTCCCCCTGCGCCTGTTCGGCCTCCTCGACCCAGAGCTGTCGTTTGGCTTCGACCCGACTCCCCTTGGGTCAAGCTAAACACTGATGGTTCTTTTGATCGCCAGACTGGAGTTGCCGGAGGAGGAGGTTTGATCCGGGACCACAGCGGCGCGCTCATCACCGCCTTCCACACGTCCCTTCAGGCCTCCTCGAGCTATGATGCAGAGATTCAGGCTCTACAGATTGGCCTTCACCTCGCTGCCCACCTCTCTAGCTATATTTGGATCGAGCTGGACGCTGCGGCGGTCATCACCATCCTGACCTCGGGCCACCAGGGCTCGTGGCAGATTCAGCACCCGCTTATGCGCATTAGAGCTCTCCTACGGTCTGTCCATCACAGGATCACGCACATCTTCCGTGAGGGGAACAGACCTGCTGACTACCTTGCCAGCCTTGGCGCAACCACACCGGACCTACACACGTATCAGACCGACACCACTGCACCACTCCGTCTTCGCACGCTGGTACGGATGGACCAGCTTGGATATCCGTCTTTTCGGTTTTAGTAGATT